GTAAGAAGTGCAAGTACCTTCATTGGCATCAAAGTAAAGGATGAGAATGATAATGCGCCCGAGGTTAAACTGCGAATGCCGACCGACTACCACTTTGCTGGCGGTAGCCGCATAGATCCTGAAAGGTGGCCTTTCGTTGTAGAAAACTCACCGATTGGGACACTGGTAACTCGGCTAAATGCCACTGATTTGGATGAAGGTGAGAACGGAAGATTGACCTTCAGTCTGGAGAACTCGGATGGTACTGAGCCCATAAGTGCAACGGCCCTCTTCCAAATCAACTCGAAAACGGGTGACATAGTGACCAAAGGTGAGATCGACAGGGAGGCCTATGATCCGCCATTTTCCTCTATTCCGCTACGCGTGAGGGTGTCTGACAACGGCATCCCGCCGAAGACTTCGACATTTGAATTTAAGATATACATTATCGATGAGAATGACAATCCCCCGGTATTTCAGCAGTCAGAGTACAAATTTCACGTGCGGGAGAACCTGCCCGCAGGTTATCCTGTTGGTGAACTTCTGGTGAGCGATAAGGATGAGGGTGAAGTTAAACTCACCCTGGGTTTACAACCCTACGGAACGCTACCGTTTGTACTCTGGGCTGTGCCGAGTACTCCAAGCACCCCAGGAGGCAGAAGTCAGGCGTCCTACTCTGTGAACCGAATAATCATCAACACAACTAGGCCACTGGACCGAGAGGTAGAAGACAGCTTTCGGTTTACAGTCTTGGCTACCGACGCGCCGAATGCTCTTTCGCCTTCCTTACACGATCGCGCGAAAGTAAGCACAGTCACAGCCACGGTGGAGATCATAGTTGAAAACGAAAATGATCATGATCCGGTCATAATCTTCCCTCAAAAACAAAATAAGACATTCATCCTCTCCTCGCAAGAGAAAAAACACTTTGAACTGCTTACAATAAACGCTAATGACAAGGATCCAAATGAAAGTCCGCACATATTCGAACTATTTGCCGATCCCTCGCAGAGTGCGAACAATGATCCGACTAATTCCTCCACGGCAAATGCTACGCGCAACCTTCGAGATTCAGCTGACTCTAATGACTTTTTAGACGTAGAGCCAACAACCGGGATCGTCTACTTGTCGCGAGATATGCGCCCAGAGGACAGGGGTTTCCACGTCTTTAGGGTCCAGGTGACTGATGGAGGAACACCACCGAGATCAAGCTCAATAACATTTTTTGTCCTGGTTAATGATTCACCGTCTCGTTCAATCACAGTTGAGAATCTACCGCCTACCAGCGACGCGACGAAAAAGGAACCTCTCAGTGACGCAAACTTTCAGGGCAAATCTGTCTCTGCAACAGGCTCTGCTGAAAGCCCTCTCCACAAAACCAATCGCGTCGGAGTAGTGGGTCGGAAGACAGCCACAGAAAATATCCGTGGCAAAGTTCGACCTCGGATTGCCAGTGATCTGGTTATCTTATTAGCATTAGGTTTAGTCTTTCTTTTACTTGTGGCTACACTCAGTCTTGTAACTTATATGCGCTACTGGCGTA